AATTTAAAATATGAGAAAACATATATAGAATTTTTCTCATAGATCAGGAGAAACTTTACATGAGACATGAGAAACATTCAAAGATTTACTTAGAAAGTGTCCTCATCATGCTATACCCAAGTGGCAGCTCAATAGAATTTTTTATGATGGATTATTAAAACAACATAGAAATATGGTTGATTCTATATGTGGAGGAGCTTTTATGGAGAAAATCTCTGATGAGATTTACAATCTTTATGAGAATTTAAGTGAAAATTCTAGAGATCAAGCCTCTTTTGAATTATATAACACGGATAAGAAGAGAGGAATTTATGAATTGCATCATGATGATGATTCTAAATTTAGAAATGAGGTTAATCAGATTAATCAAAGATTAGAAAATTTTGATTTACTTATTGACAATATTAGAAAGCCTCTTAACTCTTAATTTAATTCAAATAGTACATGTCCTATGTATGATGAAGATTATAATTTCGAATTTCAATATCATCCTAGGCAAAAACAAGTACAGGTACCCCACGATTTTAGTAAAAATAGAGAATATTTTTCTAATTCTTATAATCTTAATTAGGAGAATAATTTTTTTTGTGGAGAAACCCAAATAATTTTTAAAATTCAGAAGCACTTAGATCCAATTCAAATTTTGAATTTCGTCCAAAATAAGAAAATAGATTTTAGAAAAATCAGCCTTCTCAAATCCAATCTGATGCTATGGAAATGATGCAGCAAATGAGCTAAATGATGTAACAAACTATGAATCAAATGATGCTGCACTAGAAACAAATTATAAAGGCTCTTGGGAAGAAAAGAGAAGAGGGATAGCTACCTAGTCAGCCCAGAAAAAATCCAAGGAATCGCCCAATAGTAAGATTTTAGCAAGGAGAGTCTAGCTAGATAAATTTAGAAAAAAAACCCACAAAATGAAAATGTTAGGACAGTGAATACATTGAGTGAGAATATTTTACTTGATTCTTATTTCCAATTATTAGAAGAAGTCGATGATCCAAGTCAGTTACTTGATTCTTAAGACCGAAAATATAGTAGCAGAAAATTTGAATAAAATCATTTATTGCTCACAATTGATGAATGAATATAGTGAGGATGATGAGGAGAAAGAGCCCTTAGATGAAAAAATAGTAGCTGATCATGGAAGAATCATCCAAATTTTAGTAGAAGGGAGTAAGGACAAAAATGAAGAATATATTTCAGGTGAGGAAAAATCAACTGATTTGGGAGATGTAGGAGACAAAATTAATAAATTTAATCATAATTTTACAACCATGGATATTGATAGTGAGGATGATGATGTATATCATATATCGAAATTAAAAGATAGCTCTTGGGAAGATGAAGAATTTGATGAGTTGAGAAATGAAAAGTTGGAAAAAGAGTTGATTCAACTAATGGGGAGAATCGAAAATAATGAATATGAGTATAGAGATAATTTTGGAGGAGAAAATTTGAATTTTACTGAATTCATTAGATCTGAGATTAAAGAAGACAATCCTTCCATCCTTCAAAACCCACAGCCCATTAGAATTATTTCTAAGCTTGAAATATTTCATTCCTCGCAAATTGAACAAATGTGTGGAAAATAAAATGGAACAAGGGAAGATTATGCAGATAAAAGAACAGATTAATAAATGGGTGAGTGGAAGAATTAGAGATATCAATTTAGATGAAAAAATTCTAGATTAGGCAAGAGCTAATTTGAAAATTATATGGCCTGATCACATTTTAAAGTCTATTAATAGAAAGTATTTATTAATGAATGAGAGCCTTATAAAACAAGATAGAAATGAGGAAAGATTCTTTTCAAAATAGAAATATTATTTTTGGGAAAATTTTGTTAATTTCTATTTTTTTTTGGCTGAAAGTATGTCAAGGTATATATATGAAGTATATAAATTTATGCTAAATATGAAAAAGAATATCATGAAACTTACCTTGGGATACAAATATATTTTGATGGCCATGAATCATCTTATATGATCTAAGAGCTGTCCAACTGAAGACATTAAATTCAGCGCTGCATGGGAGGCAACCCATGGTTTTTATTTCATTCTGTTTGATTTTTTTAGAGCTCTATTTTTCTTAGAATTTTGCAATACTTATTTTTGTATTTGTTTTTTTGAAAAAGTGCAAGAGGAGGAGTGTAAGATAAAGTGAAAAATTAAAAACGAGGTTGAGGTGATGTCTTTCTGAGCTTTATTATTTATGAAAATATTTTTAATACTTAACTTTGCATATATGCATGCTTCACTTGAAAATTATATTTTTTGCATATTCTATTTCAATTTTTCTGTGTCATTGAGAACAATGTCATTTTTAAGCTGGGGGGTGAAGTATTCATTATTAATTTATAATGTAGGACGATTAAGAACATGTGTTTGCATTTTATTTAACTTAGAACAACAATTAAAAAAATAAAAATAAAATAAATTTCAGAAAAACTGCAACATCTATTTTCTGGTTTTCTATCAAGAATAACAAACTATCAAAAATAGCACACAAAGAACAGCCCAAAATTTGAAATTCTAGACACCTTTTTCTAACATTTCAATCCCCTAAACATATATTACTGAAATTAAAAATTACAGCTAGAAAGAGGATAATTTTGATTTATTTTTGACAAATTTATTATTGTTAAAAATAGAACTGAAAATAAAAAATAGAACTGTCAGAACTGTCTAATTTACAAATCTCTTACATCATATTGTATGAATGAAAAATTAAATCAATTAGATTGATTGATATTAAAAGATACTAAGAAGATTATTATTGAGTCAAAAGAATGATCTAGTAGTATAAAATGTTGGAATACTCCTTAGATACATGATAGATAACATAGATTTGATTTTATAGATTTTCACTTCATGATCTTGATGGATAGTATTTACTTGATGTGAAAATTTGATTGATCATTTGAGTTTAATAGAGATTTTTACACCTTGATTTATAGGACTTGTGAGGAGAAATCACTTATTTCGAAAAAAAAAAGAGAGAGAGAGAGCAATGTGAAAAATCTAGAAACGAAGAATACACATGGAGGGTGTGAGACAATATTCTCATTGTTGAAAATCGTACATAAAAAAACACTTGCTGCAAAATAAGTGAATAAAGTGAAAGCCCTGAAAATGAAGAGTACACATAGAGGGTGTGAGACATCATTCTTATTGTCAAAATTTGTCTACAGGAAAAGCTACTTATCTACTATATATATGAAAATAAAAAAAAAGAAAAAAAAAGAAAGAAGAAATATAGTGCAAACTTTAAAAATCAAGCCATAGAAAAAAGGAAATGTAGGATCAATATTATTCTTAGATGAGTATTGATAATTGGAACATCTTGTAAATACATCTATGAGTGAAGAAGTGAGAAAGATGTGAATAAAAGAAGTGAAGTCTAGATTATTATTCCAAGGAGTGTTTAAATATTTAAGTGCTTGACATCATTCTTAAATACTTGATATAAGAATCCAAAGTGTCTAAAGATGCATCATTTCTAATTGTACTTTTTTCTGTATTGAAATATGATGTTTGAGATTTGTAAATTTTTATTTTCATAATTCCATTACTAAAGGACTAGCAATGATTTAATTTGAGGGGGGGGTGATAAGTCTTCATTATCATGAGTTAATAATTAGTAAATAATATAGTTTTAGCCTTAACTCATGATAAATAGACTTATATTTGTGTTAAAGTATGATTTTAACACAAATATAAGTGTTTCGTATCAAAAATCTCATCATCAGCAAAAATCTCATCAACGTGATTCGTAGAGCATTGCTATTAAAATTGTTGAACGATTCACGATAAAAGGATTGTGAATCCATCGAGTAAATCATCTCCGATTGATCGATGAACAAGTCATCGTCGGAAAGAGGACGATCTACCAGGAGATGAGTCGCCACCTCCTAAGAGCGTACCAGATGCGATGAAGAGCCTCTTCTTGCTACCCAAACTTGAGGATAAAGCTCCCTGACATATGTCCCACCTCCATCCAATTCTTCTCCGTCGGGTGATAGTCATCAGAAAGACACAAAGTTGCTATTTTTTTGCTCGATTGGGTGACAGTCGTCGGAGATGATTTGACGACCTATTTCATTAGTCTCTAGACTTCGCAAAGAGATCTAGAGATTATTCACGTCGTCTTTGTCTAAGGAGAGCCTTCGAGGCCATGGACACTGCATGACAATCCTCCCAAACGTTCAAGATTCCAGTGCATCGTTGACACATCACTGTCGCGAAACTAGAACTCTATTTTCCTACTTTCAACTTACTTTACACTTCATTTAGTGATAATTTTTATGATTTTAATTTACCAAAATATACTTTGTTCAATTACGATTCTTCTGGCTTTTATAGATCTTAATTTGATTAATTAAATCATCTATAATCGCTTACGTAAGAATCGTCAGGTGGAACTCTATTTTTGCCCGATTCACATTCACCGGGTGCTGACATCATCTTGATGTCCGCACCCTTATTTCTTTTTTTTGTGAATTTTAAATATATTTCCTTTTCATTTTCTAATATAAAATTCATAGAAAATCGTATTCATTGAGAAAATTTCTGAATAATTAACAGATATTATATTACATCCTTGTGATTGACTTAAAAAATTACCACTATTTTGGAAAGTTTTATTTAATTATAATTAATATATTTTTTCAGAAATACTTCTAAATATCTAAAAAATCTTATTTTCTAGTTTTATAAATTTTAGATTTGTGTGATTTAATATACAATGACTAAGTCACGTCAATCGGCCTTCTCTAGTGGTGCCGAGAAGTAAAGTAGAGGAAGGAGATAGTTCAGTTGATGATACCAAGGAGGGTTGCGCCCTCTTGATCTAGGCGGCACTGGAAACAACGTGACGGCGGCAGATTGTCGGGAAACTCCAGCGTGGGCTTGTGAGGAGCTTGGATTGGATCTGGCTCGTTGGCACAGCAGCAGGGTCTCTCTTGATGTCGGCGGCAAGCAGGCATTTGTCGGCGAATGGCCAGCGAGTGGGCGGAGCAACAGATGGTGGCTCTGGCAAGTTTAGGGTGGAGTTTTGGAGGAAGAGGTGGCAGTCAAACCAAGAGTCGAGAGACTCCGGCAGAGTGCTCAGCGACGGCTCGTAGGGAGGTGACGCAAGCCCCTTTCGTCACGCATGATGGGGTTCCAGTAGAGGTGGTGGTGGTTACAATGGCAACCATGAAAATTTTGTCTAGTGACGGTGGTGAACTCTCGGGCAGCAATGGTCTCAGGCAGTGGCGGGACTTCTTGGGCAGCAGCATCACGAGGAACGAAGTCCTCAAAGGGGGTATCGACGGCCTTCCTCAACTTCCTTCCCACCCTATTCTAGGTCACAAAGTGGGCCCACAAGTGGGCTAAGGGGAGGTGGGCCCACTTAAGGCCCTCAAGCCCATAAGCCACAAAAGGCTACAAAAGGGGCTTATTGGGCCTCTAAAAGAGAGACCCAATAAGCTCCCCTAAAAGGAGAAAGAGGAGGGCCCTCATAGGGGCTTAAGTGGGCCTCAAATGAAGACCCAAATAAGCCCCCAAAAGAAGCCCAAAAGGAAAGAAGCATAGGTCCCCCCCTCTTAGGGGTTTAGTTGGGCCTCAAAAGAGAGACCCAATAAAACTCTAAAGAAAGGGAGACACAAACAACAACACACACACACACACATAGAATTAGGTCCGTGAACACACAAATGTGAGGCCCAACAAGTCAATGTGAAAATACACAGAAAGATAACGGGTGAGCTCAAGCTCATCGTTGTTGCAAAGGTGGAATGTCGTCATCCTGAAGGACTAGGCTGTGTAGTGAAAACTAGGCTCCTTCGTCTTCGTGAGTTGATCAGGCTGAACTCGAATTGCTAGTGTCTCTTGAGCTGAGAGAGACAGGTCCCGCTCACCATCAGTCCTCCCGGGGTCGAAAGAACTCGTCTCCAATGAGTTGGCAAGTGGGGAAGGCAGGGGCTCCAGTAGGTCTGGTCATAGTCACTCTAGGTCCACCGAAATCCAAGCATCGTCTTCCGATAGGTGACCTTGCCAACGTACTAGGAATCTTTGTGAAACTTTGTACCCTATAAAGTCAATTACCTCTCAAAGAATCTCCTCGACTCACTCGTGCAAATCAGGTGGTAAAATGGGGGGAGTGGACTCCATGGCAAACTCTCTCTTAGAGAAGGGCCAATAGATGAGGGCTTGATGTCAGATGAAAGAGATGGGGCTTGGTGCGATGCTAGATCCGCCACATTGAACATGGAGCTAATCCCCCACGAAGGAGGGATGCTGACAACATAGGTGTTGACGTGACTCAGTCGTTGTATATTAAATCATGCAAATATAAAATTTATAAAACTAGAAAATATGAATTTTCAAATATTTAGAAGTATTTCTAAATAAATATATCAATTATAATTCAATAAAAATTCCAAAAATAGTGGTAATTTTCCAAGTCAATCACAGGGATGGAATATAATATTGGGTAATTATTCAGAATTTTTCTCAATGAATACAATTTTCTTATGAATTTTATACTAAGAAAAAAAAGGAAATATATTTAAAATTCACGAAAAAAAAGGAAATAAGGGTGCGGACGTCAGGATGACATCAGCACCTAACGAATGCGAATCAGGCAGAAACAGAGTTTTGCCCGGTGATTCTTACGTAAGCGATTATAGACGACTTAATTAATCAAATTAAGATCTGTAAAAGCCGGAAGAATCGTAATTGAACGAAGTATAGTTTGGTAAATTAAAATCACATAAAGTATCACTAAATGAAGCGTAAATTAAATTGAAAGTAGGAAAACAGAGTTCCGGCGTCGCGATGGCAATGCGTCGGCGATGCACTAGAATCCTGAGCATTTGAGAGGGTTGTCATGCAGTGTCCACAGCCTTGAAGGCTCTCCTTAGACAAAGACGACGTGGGCAATCTCTAGATCTTCTCGCGAAGTCTAGAGATCAATGAAGTGGGTCATCGAATCGTCTCTGGCGGCTGTCACTCGGCGGAGCGGAAAAACGGTGACTTTGCGGCTCTCCGGTAGCTGTCACCTGACGGAGAGGAGCTGGATGGAGGTGGGGCGTGACGTGACTCAGTCGTTGTATGTTAAATCACGCAAATTTAAAATTTATAAAACTAGAAAATACGAATTTTCGGATATTTAGAAGTATTTCAAAATAAATATATCAATTATAATTCAATAAAAATCCCAAAAATAGTGGTAATTTTCCAGGTCGATCACAGGGATGTAATATAATATCTGGTAATTATTCAGAATTTTTCTCAATGAGTACGATTTTCTTACGAATTTTATACTAGGAAATAAAAAGGAAATATATTTAAAATTCACAAAAAGAAAAGGAAATAAGGGTGCGGACGTCAGGATGACGTCAGCGCCCGGCGAACGCGAATCAGGCGGAAACAGAGTTCCGCCCGGCGATTCTTACGTAGGCGATTACAGACGACTCAATTAATCAAATTAAGATCTGTAAAAGCCGGAAGAATCGTAATTGAACGAAGTATAGTTTGGTAAATAAAAATCAACAAAGTATCACTAAATGAAGCGTAAATTAAATTGAAAGCAGGAAAACAGAGTTCCGGCGTCGCGACGGCGACGGCGATGCGTCGGCGATGCACCGGAATCCTGAGCGTTCGGGAGGATCGTCGTGCAGTGTCCACGGCCTCGAAGGCTCTCCTTGGACAAAGACGACGTGGGCAATCTCTAGATAAAGCAGGAAAACAGAGTTCCGGCGTCGCGACGGCGACGCGTCGGCGATGCACCGGAATCCTGAGCGTTCGGGAGGGTCGTCGTGCAGTGTCCACGGCCTCGAAGGCTCTCCTTGGACAAAGACGACGTGGGCAATCTCTAGATCTTCTCGCGAAGTCTAGAGACCAATGAAGTGGGTCGTCGAATCGTCTCCGGCGGCTGTCACCCGGCGGAGCGGAAAAACGGCGACTTTGCGGCTCTCCGGCGGCTGTCACCCGACGGAGAGGGGCTGGATGGAGGTGAGGCGCGTGTTAGGGAGCTTCATCCTCAGGTCCGCGCAGCAAGAGGAGGCTCTTCATCGCATCTGGTACGCTCTCAGGAGGTGGCGACTGGTCTCCCGGCGGATCGTCCTCTTCCCGACGACGGCTTGTTCGTCGATCAATCGGAGATGATTTACTCGATGGATTGCGATCCTTTTATCGCGAATCGTTCAGAAATTTTAGTAGCAATGCTCCGCGAATCGCGTTGACGAGATTTTCGCCGATGATCCAGCGATTCCGGTTGCTTAATCCTTCACCGGCGATCTGCAGGAAAGTCGCGATAATCAGTTAAAAATATATGAATTTTGACTCTGGGAGGATTCGAACCTGCGGCGGTCGCCCGCCCCTGAACAAGGTGTGACGCGGGTTTAGTCCCACATCGGTTGTGCGCGGATTATTTGGGCGAATATATAGTAAAGTTAGCTTTGTAGGCAAAATCCTCTCGCGTGTACGACCACTCCTTGCCCCACAGCCGGCTGACCACCGGTGACGTGGAAGGGGAGTGGCGCACACGTGCCCCTATCGATCCAAGCATGTCGCTCGAGCCCCCGCTCGCGGCTACTCCCCGACTGCGCTTCCGACCCGCTTGAGGGCCCGGCTGGCCGGCGGACTCCCCCATTTTGCAATATTTTTATTTTTATTTCTTGTTCTTCATTTATCTCAAAACTAAGACTGTAAAAATCGTATAAAATCACATAATTACCCAAAAATTCACGTTAATCAACTGAAAACCACTTTTCATGCTTTAACACAAATATAAGTCTATTTATCATGAGTTAAGGCTAAAACTATATTATTTACTAATTATTAACTCATGATAATGAAGACTTATCACACCCCCCAACTTAAATCATTGCTAGTCCCTTAGCAATGGAATTACGAAAATAAAAATTTACAAATCTCAAACATCATATTTCAATACAGAAAAGAAATACAATTAGAAATGATGCACCTTTAAACACTTTGGATTCTTATATCAAGTATTTAAGAATGATGTCAAGCACTTAAATGTTTAAACACTCCTTGGAATAACAATCTAGACTTCACTTCTTTATCACTTCTTCACTCATAGATGTATTTACAAGATGTTCCAATTATCAATACTCATCCAAGAATAATATTGATCTTACATTTCCCTTTTTCTATGACTTGATTTTTGAAGTTTGCACTATATTTCTTCCTTCTTTTTTTTTTTTTATATATATATAGTGGATAAGTAGCTTTTCCTGTAGACAAATTTCGACAATAAGAATGATGTCTCACACCCTCCATGTGTACTCTTCATTTTCAGGGCTTTCACTTTATCCACTTATTTTTCAGCAAGTGTTTTTCTATGCACGATTTTCGACAATGAGAATGATGTCTCACACCCTCCATGTGTACTCTTCGTTTCTAGATTTTTCACATTGCTCTCTCTTTTTTTTTTTTTCTTTTTGAAATAAGTGATTTCTCCTCACAAGTCCTATAGATCAGGGTGCAAAAATCTCCATTAAACTCAAATGATCAATCAAATTTTCACATCAAGTAAATATTATCCATCAAGATCATGAAGTGAAAATCTGTAAAATCAAATCCATGTTATCTATCATGTATCCAAGGAGTATTCCAACATTTCATGCTACTAGATCATTCTTTTGACTCAATAATAATCTTCCTAGTATCTTTTGGTATCAATCAATCTAATTGATTTAATTTTTCATGCATGCAATATGATGTAAGGAATTTGTAAATTAGATAGTTCTGACAGTTCTGTTTTCTGTTTTCAGTTTTAGCAGCAATAAATTTGTCAAAAATAAATCAAAACTATCTTCTTTATAGCTGTAATTTCGAATTTCAGTAATATATGTCTAAGGGATTGAAATGTGAGAAAAGGGTCTTCTAGAATTTCAAATTTCGGGCTGTTTTTTGTCTGCTGTTTTTGACAGTCTGTTGTTTCTGACAGAAAACCAGAAAATAGATGTTGCAATTTTTCCGAATTTTATTTTATTTTTATTTTTTTAGTTGCTGTTCTAAGTTGAATAAACTGCAAACACATGTTCTTAATCGTCCTACAGCATAAATTAATAATGAATACTTCACCCCCCAACTTAAAAATGACATTGTCCTCAATGACACAGAAAACTCGAAACAGAATATGCAGAAAATATAATTTTCAAGTGAAGCATGCATATCTGCAAAGTTAAGCATTAAAAATATTTTCATAAATGATGAAGCTCAGAAAGACATCACCTCAACCTCGTTTTTAATTTTCCACTTCATCTTACACTCCTCCTGCACTTTTTCGACAGAAAAACAAATACAGAAACAAGTACTGCGAAATTCTAAGAAAAACAGAGCTTAAAAAAAATCAAACAAAATGAAATAAAAACCATGGGTTGCCTCCCATGCAGCGCTGAATTTAATGTCTCCAGCTGGACTCCTTGATCTTACTCTTGAATTTCTTTTAATAATAAAATTTCTTTTTCTGCAAGGCGTTCATGTTCTATGTAATGTTTAAGCCGCTGTCCATTTACCTTAAAGTTATGATCACTTTTAGGATCTTTAATCATTACAGCCCCATGATCATATGTCTCTTCCACCACATAAGGCCCTTTCCATTTTGATTTTAATTTTCCTTGGAATAATTTCAGCCTAGAATCATATAACCACACTTTTTGTCCAACATCAAATTTTTTTCTGCTAATGTATTTATCATGAAAAGTTTTAGTTTTTTCTTTATATATTCTATGATTTTCATAAGCTTCATTCCTCAACTCCTCTAGTTCATGTAACTGAAAAATTCTATGCCCACCAGCTGATTTTTCATCCATACATAAATTTTTTATAGCCCATAATGCTTTATGCTCTATTTCCACAGGAAGATGACATGGCTTTCCAAAAATGAGACGAAATGGGGACATACCTATGGGATTTTTATAAGCTGTTCTATAAGCCCATAATGCATCTTGTAATTTCGTGGGCCAATCTTTCCTATCTGGTCTAACTATTTTTCTCAAAATTCTCTGAATTTCCCTATTTGCTACTTCAGCTTGCCCATTTGTTTGGGGATGATATGGAGTGGCTACTCTATGGTGTACTCCATTCTTTTTCAACAGTTCTCTGAAATTTTTATTTGTAAAATGTGTTCCTCCATCACTAATAATCACTCTAGGACATCCAAATCTCGAAAAAATATTTTCCTGCACAAATTTCATCACGATTTTATGATCATTAGTTCTAGTAGGAATAGCTTCCACCCACTTCGACACATAATCAACAGCAAGCAAAATATATTCATATTTTTCAGCTGATGGGAAGGGACCCATGAAATCTATTCCCCATACATCAAAAATTTCGACTACTAACATATTACTCATGGGCATTTCATCTTTTTTACTCATGTTACTTATAGATTGGCATGAAATACATGTTCTACTAAATTCTATAGAATCTCTAATGATTGTAGGCCAATAAAAACCACACTGGAAAATTTTTGCAGCTGTTTTTCGTCCAGAGAAATGTCCTCCACAGTTAGATGAATGACACATGTTAATAATGCTATGATATTCTTCTTCAGGAACACATCTCCTTAAAATTTGATCATTGCCCAAGTAATATAAATCAGGATCATGCCAAAAATAATTTCTAATCTTAGAAAAGAAATGATTTTTTCTGTTCTTATCCCACTGTTCTGGAGTTTTTCCAGAAACCAGAAAATTAACAATATGTGCATACCATGGTGATGGTTGATGTTGAGCTGCCATCAATTGTTCATCTGGAAATGCGTCTTGTAAAGGTGCTGCATTTATTCCTGTATCACTTAATCTAGAAAGATGGTCAGCAACAACATTCTCGAAACCCTTTTTATCTTTTATTTCTAAGTCAAATTCTTGCAACAATAAAATCCATCTTAATAAACGTGGCTTTGCATCTTTCTTATTTAACAGATATTTTAATGCTGCATGATCAGTATAAATAATAATTTTAGCTCCCAAAATATATGATCTAAACCTTTCTAACGAAAATACTACAGCTAACAATTCTTTTTCAGTCGTGGTATAATTTAATTGAGCATCAGATATAGTTTTACTAGCATATGAAATTACTATGGGTTTTGACTCTTTTGTTTGTCCTAGAACGGCCCCCACTGCATAATTCGATGCGTCACACATTATTTCAAAGGGAAGGGACCAATCAGGAGCTTGTAAAATGGGTGCCTCAGTAAGTAATCTTTTTATTTCGGAAAAAGACTCAAAACATTTCTCATCAAAATTAAAAGGCACATCTTTAGATAATAGCATGGTGAGAGGTTTAGAAATTTTCGAAAAATCTTGAATAAATTTTCTGTAATAACCTGCATGACCCAAGAAAGATCTAATCTGTTTTACTGAATTCGGAGGTTTCATTTTAGATATAATATCGATTTTTGCTCTATCCACCTCTAAACCCTTTTCACTCACAATATGACCCAACACAACTCCCTCTTTAACCATAAAATGTGATTTCTCCCAACTCAAAACTAATTTTTTCTCTATGCATTTCTCAAGTACATGCTGTAAATGATTTAAGCATTCATCAAATGATTCACCAAAAACAGAAAAATCGTCCATAAAAATTTCCATGCATTTTCCAATCATATCAGAAAAAATAGACAGCATACATCTTTGAAATGTGGCTGGAGCATTACACAGACCAAAAGGCATGCGTTTAAAAGCAAAAGTACCAAATGGACAAGTGAAAGTTGTTTTTTCTTGATCTAAAGGGTTTATATAAATTTGATTATAACCAGAGTATCCATCCAGAAAACAAAAAAAGTTTTTTTCCAGCTAATTTTTCTAAAATTTGATCAGTAAATGGTAGGGGAAAATGATCTTTTCTAGTAACTGAATTTAATTTTCTATAATCAATGCAAACTCTCCAACCGGTAGTTAGTCTTGTTTGTATTTCCTCCCCATTTTCGTTTTTTATAACCGTGATCCCTGATTTTTTTGGCACTACTTGTGTAGGACTAACCCATTTGCTATCTGAAATAGGGTAAATAATATCAGCAGCCAGCCACTTTAAAATTTCTTTTTTTACAATTTCCATCATGTTAGGATTTAATCTTCGTTGTGGTTCCCTGCTAGTTCTAGCCCCCTCCTCTAAATATATACTATGCATGCATACTCTCATATCAATGCCCCTTAGATCGTCCATTTTCCAGCCCATAGCCTTCTTATTTTTTCGAAGTACATCTAATAATTCTTCTTCCTGTTCATTACTCAAATCAGCTGCAATAATAACAGGAAATGAATTATTTTCCTCCAAAAACATATATTTTAAACTAGAGGGGAGAGGTTTCAACTCTAAATTCAGATGATCTTCCTCTTTCTTTTCTTCTAAATTTATATTCTCTATTTCCTCTAATTCTTCCAGCACACAGTCATCAATAACATCTGGATCATCAAAATCATCTAGAAGATCTATGGTATGACAATCATATACTTGGGATTTCTTAAGATCATTTGATACCTCAAAAATTTTAATTTCTACTGATTGATCTCCACATGAAATTTTTGCAATACCTGTGGGAAAATCAATATTCATCTTTGCTGTATGCAAAAATGGTCTCCCTAGGATGATTGGTGTATCATAAAACTGTCCATTAAAATCCATTTCCAGCACTACAAAATCAGCTGGAAATTTACACCCTTTAACTGTCACTATCACATTTTCTAAGATACCTTTAGGATGTTTTATGGATCTATCAGCAAATTGTAAGGTAACAGTAGAAGGTTTAAGATCAGAAATATTAAATTTATCACAAATACTTGCAGGTAATAAATTAATACTAGCACCGGTGTCAAGTAATGCATTCTGAAAAATGAATCCACCAATATCACACGAAATTAAAGGAGCACCTGTATCTCTCAATTTAAATGGTAATTGATTTAATAATAACGCACTAGCATGCATAGATAATTTTTCTACTCTAGGTGCCCTTTTTGGTGTACACATTTCTTTCAAAACTCTAGCATATTCAGGAATATGTTCAATGGCAGTGAGTAAAGGAAGACTAATTTGCACATCTTGTAAAATTTTCTTTATTTCTTCATTGTGTTCCTTTTTCTTTCTTTGTCTAGGCTCTAGAGCTTTAGGAAATGGAATGGTTGTCCTCTCTTTCGAAATTTCTTTGGTAGAATCTATAAAATCCTCTTCTACTCCTATTTGATTTTGTTTTGGGGTGTCCACATTTTCTTTTTCTTCTAATGTTTGGGGATAAGGATCAGGTAAGATCTTACCACTCCTTAATGCATTCACTGTCCTAACATTTTCATTTCGTGGGTTTTTTCCTAGATTCATGCTACTAGACTCCCCATGCTGAAATCCTATTGTTGGGCGGTTCCCTGGATTTTCTATGGGCTGACTAGGTAGCTGTCCCTCTTCTCTCTTATTCCCAAGGGCCTCTATAATTTGTTTCTGGTGCAGCATCATTTGGTTCATAGTTTGTTGCATCATTTGGCTCATTTGCTGCATCATTTCCATAGCATCAGGTTGGATTTGAGAGGACTGATTTTTCTGAAATCTGTTTTCTTGTTTTGGACGAAATTCAGAGTTTGAATTGGGTCTAAGTGCTTCTGGATTTTGAATATTATTTGGGTCTCTCCATGAAAAACTATTCCTCCAATTAGGATTATAAGAATTTGAAAAAGGTTCCCTGTTTCTATTAAAACCGTGAGCCACTTGCACTTGTTCTTGCATAGGGTGAAATGATTGATCTAAATTATAACATTGAAATTCAGAATAATCGTTTTCACCATACATAGGACATGTACTATTCGAATTAAGTTGAGGGTTAAAAGGCTTTCTAATATTGTCAATAAGTAAATCAATTTTTTCTAATCTTTGATTAATCTGATTAACCTCATTTCTAAGTTTAGAATCATCATCATGATGCAATTCATAAATTCCTCTCTTCTTATCCCTATCATATAATTCAAAAGAGGCTTGATCTCTAAAATTTTCACTTAAATTCTCATAAAGATTGTAAATCTCATCAGGAGTTTTCTCCATAAAAGCTCCTCCACATATAGAATCAACCATATTTCTATGTTGTTCTAATAATCCATCATAAAAAATTCTATTGAGCTGCCACTTGGGTATAGCATGATGAGGACACTTTCTAAGTAAATCCTTGAATTTTTCCCATGTCTCATGCAAAGTTTCTCCTGGTCTTTGAGAAAAACTCCATATATGTTTTCTCATATTTTGAGTTTTTCCTAAGGGATAAAATTTTCGAAGAAAGGCCTGTTCTATATCTTTCCAGCTAGTTAATTCTCTATCTAATGTGGATAGCCAATGACTAGCTTTGTCCCTAAGTGTATGAGGGAATAATTTCATCTTAATAATTTCTGGTGTAACTTGAGGGAGATTAACTAAATCACAGACCATATGAAATTTTTCTAAGTGCTGATGAGGTTCCTCTAAAGGCAATCCATGAAAATTAGGGAGCATTTGAAAAATTCCTGGATTTATTTCGAATTTAACAGTGGGTGCTAATGGGACTCTAATGTTAGATGCTCTTTGAAATGAATCAGGGATATAATGATTTTTCATGGCCATAGGATTGTTCTCAGTTTGACCTGTACTTCCTTCAGGATCCATCAAAATTAATTTTTCTTTCGGATTTTTATTTTTGAATGAAATAATGAAAGGATTTTCTAGCCTTGGATGCAAGGATCTTCTACCATGCATAAAAATCAATAAATTCGAGAGAAAAAGTTAGTAACTGTTACCCTCCTTCAGGATGCTCCAGTCCTTGCCGTGCTTCTTTTCGTTCCCTTTTTCTAATAAAAATCAGCAAAAAGAAAATAAAACAAGAGTAAAGTTTTTTTTTTTTTTTTTTTTTGTGTACTCTAAGAGAAAAACAGAAAAATACTAAATATTATGCAATACATCCCCGGCAACGGCGCCAAAATTTGACGTGACTCAGTCGTTGTATATTAAATCACGCAAATTTAAAATTTATAAAACTAGAAAATACGAATTTTCGGATATTTAGAAGTATTTCAAAATAAATATATCAATTATAATTCAATAAAAATCTCAAAAATAGTGGTAATTTTCCAGGTCAATCACAGGGATGTAATATAATATCTGGTAATTATTCAGAATTTTTCTCAATGAGTACAATTTTCTTACGAATTTTATACTAGGAAATAAAAAGGAAATATATTTAAAATTCACAAAAGAAAAAAAAAAGGAAATAAGGGTGCGGACGTCAGGATGACGTCAGCGCCCGGCGAACGCGAATCAGGCGGAAACAGAGTTCCGCCCGGCGATTCTTACGTAGGCGATTACAGACGACTCAATTAATCAAATTAAGATCTGTAAAAACCGGAAGAATCGTAATTGAACGAAGTATAGTTTGGTAAATAAAAATCAACAAAGTATCACTAAATGAAGCGTAAATTAAATTGAAAGCAGGAAAACAGAGTTCCGGCGTTGCGACGGCGATGCGTCGGCGATGCACCGGAATCCTGAGCGTTCGGGAGGATCGTCGTGCAGTGTCCACGGCCTCGAAGGCTCTCCTTGGACAAAGACGACGTGGGCAATCTCTAGATAAAGCAGGAAAACAGAGTTCCGGCGTCGCGACGGCGACGCGTCGGCGATGCACCGAAATCCTGAGCATTCGGGAGGGTCGTCGTGCAGTGTCCACGGCCTCGAAGGCTCTCCTTGGACAAAGACGACGTGGGCAATCTCTAGATCTTCTCGCGAAGTCTAGAGACCAATGAAGTGGGTCGTCGAATCGTCTCCAGCGGCTGTCACCCGGCGGAGCGGAAAAACGGCGACTTTGCGGCTCTCCGGCGGCTGTCACCCGACGGAGAGGGGCTGGATGGAGGTGAGGCGCGTGTTAGGGAGCTTCATCCTCAGGTCCGCGCAGCAAGAGGAGGCTCTTCATCGCATCTGGTACGCTCTCAGGAGGTGGCGACTGGTCTCCTGGCGGATCGTCCTCTTCCCGACGACGGCTTGTTCGTCGATCAATCGGAGATGATTTACTCGATGGATTGCGATCCTTTTATCGCGAATCGTTCAGAAATTTTAGTAGCAATGCTCCGCGAATCGCGTTGACGAGATTTTCGCCGATGATCCAGCGATTCCGGTTGCTTAATCCTTCACCGGCGATCTGCAGGCAAGTCGCGATAATCAGTTAAAAATATATGAATTTTGACTCTGGGAGGATTCGAACCCGCGGCGGTCGCCCGCCCCTGAACAAGGTGGATTTAGTCCCACATCGGTTGTGCGCGGATTATTCGGGCGATTATATAATAAAGTTAGCTTTCTAGGCAAAGTCCTCTCGCGTGTACGACCACTCCTTGCCCCACAGCCGGCTGACCACCGGTGACGTGGAAGGGGAGTGGCGCACACGTGCCCCTATCGATCCAAGCAAGCCGCTCGAGCCCCTGCTCGCGGCTACTCCCCGACTGCGCTTCCGACCCGCTTGCGGGCCCGGCTGGCCGGCGGTCTCCCCCATTTTGCAATATTTTTATTTTTATTTCTTGTTCTTCATTTATCTCAAAACTAAGACTGTAAAAATCGTATAAAATCACATAATTACCCAAAAATTCACGTTAATCAACTGAAAACCACTTTTCATGCTTTAACACAAATATAAGTCTATTTATCATGAGTTAAGGCTAAAACTATATTATTTACTAATTATTAACTCATGATAATGAAGACTTATCAGGGCGCGTGTTAGGGACCTTCATCCTCAGGTTCGCACAGCAAGAGGAGGCTCTTCATCACATCTGGTATGCTCTCAGGAGGTGGCGACTGGTCTCCCGGTGGATCGTCCTCTTCCCGATGATGGCTTGTTCGTCGATCAATCGGAGATGATTTACTCGATGGATTTGCGATCCTTTTATCGCGAATCGTTCAGCAATTTTAGTAGCAATGTTCTGCGAATCGCATTGATGAGATTTTCGTCGATGATCAAGCGATTCTCATTGCTTAATCCTTCACCGGTGATCTGCAAGAAAGTCGTGATAATTAGATAAAAATATATGAATTTTGACTCTAGGAGGATTCGAACCTGTGCCGGTCGCCCCACCTCTTCTGAGGAAGGTGTGATGTGGGTTTAGTCCCACATCGGTTGTGCGCCAATTTTTCGGGTGAATATATAGTAGCTTTGTAAGCGAAGTCTCTTCTCTCGCGTGTACGACCACTCCTTGCCCCATAGCCAGCTAGCCACCGGTGACGTGGAAGGGGAGTGACGTACACGCGCCCTATCGGTCCATAAGCCAAGCCACTCGATCCTCTGCTCACGGCTACTCCCCGACTGCGCTTCCGACCTGCTTGCAGGCTCGGCTGGCCGGCAGGTACCCCCACTTTTACAAAATTTTTATTTTTATTTCTTATTCTTCATTTATCTCAAAAGTAAGACTATAAAAATCATATAAAATCACATAATTACCCAAAAATTCACGTTAATCAACTGAAAACCACAAATCATACTTTAACACAAATATAAGTCTATTTATCATGAGTTATGGCTAAAAATATATTATTTACTAATTATTAACTCATGATAATAAAGACTTATCACACCCCCCAACTTAAATCATTGCTAGTCCCTTAGCAATGGAATTATGAAAATAAAATTTTACAAATCTCAAACATCATATTTCAATACAGAAAAAAAATATATAATTAGAAATGATGCACCTTTAAACACTTTGGATTCTTATATCAAGTATTTAAGAATGATGTCAAGTACTTAAATGTTTAAACACTCCTTAGAATAACAATCTAGACTTCACTTCTTCTATTCACATTTTTATCACTTCTTCACTCATAGATGTATTTACAAGATGTTCCAATTATCAATACTCATCCAAGAATAATATTAATCTTACATTTCCCTTTTTCTATGACTTGATTTTTGAAGTTTGCACTATATTTCTTCCTTTTTTTATTTTTATTTTATAAATAGTGGATAAGTAGCTTTTCCTGTAGACAAATTTCGACAATAAGAATGATGTCTCACACCCTCCATGTGTACTCTTTATTTTCAGGGCTTTCGCTTTATCCACTTATTTTTCAACAAGTATTTTTCTATGCACGATTTTTGACAATGAGAATGATGTCTCACACCCTCCATTGTACTCTTCGTTTCTAGATTTTTCACATTGCTCTCTCTTTTTTTTTTTTTGAAATAAGTGATTTCTCCTCACAAGTCCTATAGATCAGGGTGCAAAAATCTCCATTAAACTCAAATGATCAATCAAATTTTCACATCAAGTAAATATTATCCATCAAGATCATGAAGTGAAAATTTGTAAAATCAAATCCATGTTATCTATCATGTATCCAAGGAGTATTCCAACATTTCATGCTACTAGATCATTCTTTTGACTCAATAATAATCTTCCTAGTATCTTTTGGTATCAATCAATCTAATTGATTTAATTTTTCATGCATGCAATATGATGTAAGGAATTTGTAAATTAGATAGTTCTAATATTTATGTTTTCTATTCTCAGTTCTATTTTTAGTAGCAATAAATTTGTCAAAAATAAATCAAAACTATCTTCTTTATAGCTGTAATTTCGAATTTCAGTAATATATATCTAGGGGATTGAAATGTGAGAAAAGGATCTTCTAGAATTTCAAATTTTGGGCTATTTTTTGTCTGCTGTTTTTGACAATATGTGGTTTCTGACAAAAAACCAGAAAATAAATGTTACAGTTTTTCTGAGTTTTATTTTTTTTTATTTTTTTTGTTGCTGTTCTAAGTTGAATAAAATGGAAACACATGTTCTTAATCGTCTTACAGTATAAATTAATAATGAATATTTCATCCCCCAACTTAAAAATGACATTGTCTTCAATGACACAGAAAACTCGAAACAGAATATGTAGAAAGTATAATTTTCAAGTGAAGCATGCAATCTGCAAAGTTAAGTATTAAAAATATTTTCATAAATGATGAAGCTCAGAAAGACATCACCTCAACCTCGCTTTTAATTTTCTACTTCATCTTACACTCCTCCTCCTGCACTTTTTCGAAAAAAAACAAATACAAAAACTAGTACTGTGAAATTCTATGAAAAATAGAGCTTAAAAAAAATCAAACAGAATGAAATAAAAACCATGGGTTGCCTCCCATGCAGCGCTGAATTTAATGTCTCAAGCTGGACAGCTCTTATATCATATAAGATGATCTATGGCCATCAAAATATATTTGTATCCCAAGGTAAGTTTCATGATATTCTTTTTCAGATTTAGCATAAATTCATATACTTCATATATATACCTTGACATACTTTCAGCCAAAACAAAATGGAAATTAACAAATTTTTCCCAAAAATAATATTTCTATTTTGAAAAGAATCTTTTCTTATTTCTATCTTGCTTTGTTAGGCTCTCATTCATTAATAAATACTTTCTATTAATAAACCATAAAATGTGATCAGGCCATATAATTTTCAAATTAGCTCTTGCCCAATCTAAATTTTTTTCATCTAAATTGGTATCTCTAATTCTTCCACTCACCCATTTCTTAATGTCTTCTTTTATCTACATAATCTTCCCCTGCTCTATTTTATCTTCCATACATATTTGTTCAATTTGCGAGGAGTGAAATATTTCAAGCTTAGAAATAATTCTAATGGGCTGTGGGTTTTGAAGGATGAAAGGATTGTCTTCTTTAATCTTAGATCTAATGAATTAAGTAAAATTCAAATTTTCTCCTCCAAAATTATCTCTATATTCATATCTATTATTTTCGTGTGTTCTCATTAGTTGAATCAATTCTTTTTCTAGCTTTTCGTTTCTCAACTCATCAAATTCTTCATCTTCCCAAGATCTATCTTTTAATTTTGATATATGATATACATCATCATCCTCACAATCAACATCCATGGCTGCAAAATTATAATTAGATTCATTAATTTCGTCTCCTACATCTCCCAAATCAATTGATTTTTCCTCACCTGAAATATATTTTTCTTCATTTCTGTCCTTACTCCCTTCTACTAAAATTTGGATGATTTTTCTATGATCAGTCGCTGTTTCTTCATGTAAGGGTTCTTTCTCCTCATCATCCTCACTATATTATTCATCAATTGTGAGCAATAAATGATTTTATTCAAATTTTCTGCTACTATATTTTTGGCCTTAATATTCTCATTTACTTCTAATGGATCATCAATTTCTTCTAATAATTGGAAATAAGGATCAGGTAAAATATTCTCACTCAATGTATTCACTGTCCTAACATTTTCATTTCGTGGGTTTTTTTCTAAATTTATCTAACTAGACTCTTCTTGCTGAAATCCTATTGTTGGGCGGTTCCCTGGATTTTTTATGGGCTGACTAGGTAGCTGTCCCTCTTCTCTCTTATTCTCAAGAGCCTCTATAATTTGTTTCTGATGAAGAATCATTTGATTCATAGTTTGTTGCATCATTTGGCTCATTTGCTGCATCATTTCTATAGTATCATGTTGGGTTTGAGAGGGCTGATTTTTTTGAAATCTGTTTTCTTATTTTAGACGAAATTTAGAGTTTGAGTTGGATCTAAGTGCTTCTGGATTTTGAATATTATTTGGGTTTCTCCACGAAAAATTATTCCCCCAATTAGGATTATAAGAATTAGAAAAATATTCCCAATTTTTACTAAAATCGTGAGGTACTTGCACTTGTTCCTAGGATGATATTGAAATTCGAAATGATCATTTTCACCATACGTAGGACATGTAATATTTGAAATAAATTGAGGGTTAAGAGGTTTTCTAATATTGTCAATAAGTAAATCAAGTTTTTCTAATCTTTGATTAATCTGATTAACCTCATTTTTAAGTTTAGAATTATCATCATGATACAATTCATAAATTTCTCTCTTCATTTCCTTGTCATATAATTCAAAAGAGGCTTGATCTTTAGAATTTTCACTTAAATTCTCATAAAGACTATAAATCTCATCAAGAGTTTTCTCCATAAAAGCTCCTCCACATATAGAATCAACCATATTTATATGTTGTTCTAATAATC